GCGCGCGCGCCCCGTTTGCGCAACGTAGGGAGAACCCTGTATATATATATATATATATATATATACGTACACAGCTTATAATACTAGACACAGATGGCATGCATGCATCCTGACTAGTCTCTGGTCTACGCAACGTAAATAATTTTGTAAATAATTTCACGAAAACGACGGCCGGGGTACCAAACTACGATTGCGCAAAATTTACAGGCACTCGCGTCGTGCCGTACAGTGCATCGCAGCTTACCTGGATGGTGTACTTGCAAGCGCCGAGCGTGTTCCACAGCTTGATGGTCTTGTCCCTCGACGCCGACACAATCTGCCGGTTGTCGGCGGAGAACGCCACGCTCAGTACGTCCTTCGTGTGGCCGACGAAGCGACGGGTCGTCTGTCCACTGCAACAGCGCCAACATTCAGAAGCGCGCAAACGACAGACGGAATCGCGTCGTGCCGCGCGCGCGCAAAAACGCCGCCGACGCGGGATCGATACGGCGAAACGCCGCCGTGGATTAATGCAGCCTGGTTAGGTACTTGGTGTGCTCTTATGCCATGGGAACGATACACCCGTCGAAAAATACCACTATTGCCGATGCGGATTAATGGTGCGCGCGGGTGCGCTCTTACGTGCTCAGATCCCAGAGGCGCAGAGTGCCGTCCCACGATCCGGAGAGAGCGAACTGGCCGTCGGACGACATGACGACGTCGGACACGAAGTGACCGTGGCCGCGAAGGGCTTTCTGCGGGACGCCGTAGTTCGTATCGTCGCGCGTCAGCTTCCACATGATCACGGTCTTGTCTAGAATGAGGAAAATCTGATGGCAGGTTTTGTTTATACAGAGATTGTTACTGTATTTGCGGGAAGTAAGAACAACATATTGAATGAGAAATGAAAACTTGACACTCAACTTGAGACAAAAACAAAACGTGGTACATGCACGAGGGTAAGTACTCAGCTGATCATTTTCAGTATGAATCTAGTAGATGGTAAGAACGCATCGCCGAGTAAATCACACTCAATCCACTTCCACTGACGCACTACAATGATTTAGAGATGGAAATGCATGAAATAACTTACCTCGGGACGACGAAAGAATCATGTCCGGAAACATCGCAGTGGTCGCGATTTGGGTAACCCAGCCATTGTGGCCTTTAAGGGTACCCCTGTGAGTTAATTGCTCTGTCATTCTTACTCGCAATTACTCGTGAAGTTCCGATGACACCGGATTGTGTCACTAACTTTACAAATGTGTTGGCCAACAACTATGGCGGCCGAGAAAAGGAACGCTAGGTGGCAGCATAAGTTATACTGGGATGTAAACTTTAAAGTATTTTAACATTCAAAATGTACTATATGTAATTCAAACCTACAGAAAGTCATATTTTTGTTTAAAACATATTAATTGTTGTGATAATACGTTACAGGCAACTTAGAAACATTTTTGATATGACGTCATGGGACGATAAAATTTTCGGCGGCCATTTTTCCGAGGGAGTGTAGTTGTTTGATGCGAACGTACTAGTAAATTTAGTTATTTGTGTTTAATAGCAGCACCTCTGGCGCTAACTGTCAGTCGTGCCATATCACTAACTAAATAAGAACGAGCTGTGTTATATAAGAATTTCAGGAAATATGGAGGAAAAGGCGCATTTGAAGGAACTGGATCAATGGATAGAACAACTGAATGAATGCAAACAGTTGACCGAAAATCAAGTGAAAACATTGTGTGAAAAGGTGTGTATTTAGTTTGATTATCACAACGACTGTATCTTCAAGCATGTAGGCCTATAGCTCTAGTACTATAGCCCGCGTTTATTAACTGCTGCAGGCGTCACTGTCCTATATCTGTCCAATAGTAGGCCTATATCAAATAGTAAATACATTAACGATTAAGAATACCTGCAGACATGCGTAGACATTCTTAGTAGCTGTAAAACCTTTCTATCAGTATCATGTAAATTGTAAGTGAAAAGTCAAGTGCACGTAATACTAATACTAATACTAATAGGCCTACTGAGTGAGTGTATATAATTTTTTCTTTCAATGAATCTGTGGTCGGCGCATGATTTCGTCTACGTCACAGATAAACATACAGTTTACAATTTAGGGATACTGACAGTTATACTGTTCAGGCCTTGCGCTTATTTTCAGATCTGGTTGTCCTGTTGGGCAACAAGAAGCAATTTTTACTTGTGCAATCTATGAGCCGTTAATGTCCTCTTTTGGTTCAGTGCATATCATATTATCAGGAGTGTATAATATCTTATTAAAATGTACCAATGTTTGTACCAACTTTTCAATGCAAAATATGAGGTGAGACCAGCGAAAAAAATACACGGGAGCGGCGAGCGATTTCGCTCCCGTCAGCTTTCAAAGCGCTCTGGTAACAACAATTACGAGAGCGAAAATTTTGGAAGATACGAGAAAAAATCGCTCCCGTGCCGCCGGCAGCGTTAGAAATTAGTTCCGACCCCGGAGGCCCGAGCCCACCAAGTTTTTGCTCGGGCAATAACAATAAGTTTTTATATCGCAGGGGTTAATTATCGTGGGGAGTGAGGGCACGACCAGTGACACCAGACACGCGCGTAACCAAAGCTGAATTCGTCACTGATTTGTAGATAGTGAATTATTTTTATTCATTTAGATATCTAGAAGCAATGTAAACTGTATATATACTTAAAAATATTCTAGGCACTTGTAACTTTGCGGATGTGCGGCAGCATTGATCTATGCATGGGGGTACCCTGGACTGGGGAGGAGAAAAACGAAAGTAAAACCTTACCCAGAAGCTCCCGGCATTCCTAGAGATTCCAGTACAAGTCTTTTTTAACATACTCAAAGTAACTAAAAACTCTCTCTGAAGTTCTGAACTTGCTCAGTCGATGTAAAAATAAAGTTGAAAGATGAAAAGAAATAAAGTAAAAAAAAGAAACTTGAAAATAACCATACCATCATTACCATGATTATAATTCTTGATTTCCTGTCTTTGTCATGTTACCTGACTATCTGTACTGTGTGAATGAAATTGAATAAGAATGTGATTGGTTTCTTAGTCGAGTGAAATGAGATGAAAAAAATGTGATCGAATGTAATTTGTTGACGATTTCTTAACACTGATAGTCTGATACTGGTGCTGAGTGCTGAATGCTGATGAATGATATTAATTAGAGTCTGCATCAAAATTATGAAAATTTTAACAAAATCATGCTATGAAAAAGTAGCTCTGGCCAAGCCTAAAATAGCTCCCGTAAAAAAAATTACGAGAGCTCTTTTTTTCATACAAAATCAAAAAAGAGCTCTCGTAAAAAAAAGAGTAATTTTTAGGCTGGGTGAGACTTATAATATACATGAATTATACTTATACACGAGTAAATACAGTACATGTAAAATCGTAATGAAATTCACATGTTTATGTTTGCATGCTGGCACGCTCATTGTGTGTCATTATTTACCGATTGCAGCTTTTTCCTCAATCACAGGAAAGAGTTTTGCTGTCGTCCTCTCATCCCAGCGATGCCCTCCCCTACATATTCAGTAATGAATATGCCCCAACCGACTTATAAACAATCGTACCCCTACCGCAGTACATAAATCAATGCCGCCCCAGCCAGGGAGGTACGCATTGCCGCTCTGAATAAATCTGTAATGGTAACAGTAGGTGTCGCGGGCTGCTTTTTTCAGGGACCTTTGAAAACGTTTGAAGTGAGAATGTGGTGCGATAGCGCCCTGGCTCAGAGGATGTTAAGAATATTAAACAACTAGAACTTTTCAGTTGTCCGATCGGGCAACTAGGCAAGAGAATAACTTGTCTGACATAGACTTTCACTTGTCCCGGGCAATCGGACAACCGTTAGTGTCGAGAGCTGCTGTTTAGGACTTGCTAATTGTATCGATGTACAGTGAGTGTGTTTGTACGCATCACAAATTAAATGTACTTTGGCCCGTATTTGTAGTAACACTGTTGATATGTGATCGAATATTGGCAAACAGCGTTTCAGTAATTGGTCAAAAAATCATCACACGTACGTTTTGTCATGTGTGTTCGTTTGTTAGTAACCTTTGGAGTATATGGAGGAGTTAATATGCAAAAACATGATGGTTTTTAATGCAAGGTTTCTGTCACCAGAATTATCTCTAAATGCACATTATTTAGATTTATCCATTAGTATTAAATCACCAATTTCTGGTTTTTTGCTTGTCGTTTTTTTGTGGCAAACAATCACAATTTCAGCATTGTACTTAATGCCTTAATGTATTAAGTAATTTTGAGCAACATGGGGCCAAAACTACATTGATCACGTCCGACCAGTTCCGATTCCAGCCGTGGAAATTCGGAATTCGGAGATCTGGCAACCCCCCCATGCTCGTGTGGAGGTGATAAGGGGGATATATCCTGAAGGTGTATTGATATACAGGGGTAGAAATTAACTTTTGAACACGGGAGTCCAATGGACTCCTTACCCTCAAAATGAGGGAGTTCACAGTCTGAGGTTCAAAATGAAAGATATTAACAATAACGCATGTGCTTATGTTTAAGATTTATGCGGTTGCACGTCTGCCAAATTTTCTTTGGACATTAGCTGAAAAAATACCATAATTCCGCGTGGCTTGTTAGTATATGGCAGAATTTTCAGGGAGTCACACGGACTCCCGCATATGTAAAAAATGGGAGTCCGACAGTAAATCAGGGAGTATTTGACTCTAGACTCCCGTTAATTTCGCACCCTGCATTGGTAGCTTGCTGCGCACACCCGATGATTACAGACTGAGCAGACTTCGCCGTGGTGAAAATGTCCTGCAATTCTGAGGGTTGCGCCGGCGTCCACGCAAAGCCGTTAAAACTAATGAGAAGCTAGTGGTACGTGTAGCGATGGCGGGTTGAACCGTCGCGTATAAACGTTGGCAAGGAAACTTGAGGTGAAACTTAATCGTAAAATCTATTGCAGTCACGAATTTCCCCCAGGCCACCCTTAAAAAATTGTTTGTTTCCCCTTTACCTACTCGCCTCTCGGGGTACCGAGTAGGTAGGTAGGTGAAAAATCTTTTTTATTTTGTTTTGACAATATGTGTGTATGTATATTGTATATTCTGTTTTGTGTATATGTTTTTGCGGAACAAATTATTTATTTTTTTGGGGGCGAAACGAAATAATTTTTGTTTTGTTTTAATCGGCCAATAAAATGTGTCGAGTAGCGGCGTTTGGGCGAGTCGGTCCGTAAAGGGGAAACAAGCAATATTTTATCTTACCGTTAATTTCGCACCCTGGATATATCGTAAGCGTGCTCCGTCGTTCGTTTGTAAGGTCTCCCGTTGGTATGTTCCGGGTGTGCGAGCGATTCTTTGTGCGTCGCCGCGGTCGATCGTACGTGTAATGTCTGCTCCTCGCTAACTGCGTAACTGCTCATCTCTCGCATTAGATGTATTCTGCGCGAGAGGGGGTTAGCAGAGAAAGAGAGAGGGAGAGTGGAGACACAGAGAGAGAGAGAGGGGAGAGAGAGGGAGAGACAGACAGTGAGAGAGGGGAGGGCGAGAGAGAGAGAGACAGACAGTGAGAGAGGGGAGGGAGAGAGAGAGAGAGAGACAGACAGCGAGAGAGGGGAGGGAGAAAGAGAGAGAGAGAGAGACAGACAGCGAGAGAGGGGAGGGAGAGACAGAGAGAGAGAGAGAAAGACAGACAGCGAGAGAGGGGAGGGAGAGACAGAGAGAGAGAATGCGACCGGTTAATATCAATGCACGGAATCGAACGTTAGAACGAGCTTCCTGTTCATATATAAGGTGGTTTCCCTGGTTACGGCATGTGGGGAGAGGGAGGGAGCGGTGCTTTGGTTAGTCTGCTGGGCCAGCCGAACTCTCTCTCCGTCCAGCGTGGCAGGGCTGTCGTAACAGCGAGGTGCCGCAGAGGAGGTTTCGCACGTCTTTGTTTTTCACAGCCAGTGTCTGATTAGAGAGTGGTTGGCGTTACCGTTCGTCACCATGTCATACTGGCGTAGGCCGACGTCTATTTCCACCTGAGCGTCGTTCCTCAATCCGGTACTGTCGATATTGGTTTTCAATCGAGGCGTTTTCATCGGTGCCTCATTCTGCGAGTCTTTTGTGGGACTTGGCGGTCGTCGGAGCGTGCGACTGCCCGTATTTGGCATTTAAGTTTTCGGTGGAGATAAGTGGGTGATGTTAAGTGTTTCTAAGTTGCTTGCATTCAGCGTGTGAGTGTGAGTGCGTGTGCGTGAGTGCATGAGTGCACGCGCTTGCGGTTAGCATCCCGCAGGCCGTGATTATTTATTACTCCTGCCTCCGGACCGCCCCAGCATCTGCGTCGTGGAGCACTATTTTTAGATTTTTGCGAGTTCATCGCGCAGCGGGACCGGCTGTCTATCCCCGGCAGGGAGTGAATCCATGAGAGAGATGTCGAGTGGGGTGCTCTGAGCTCGTAGATGCGTGCGCGTCATTCAGGAAAAGCGCATTGAATCGTCTAAATTTAACTCTTAACGTGAAGTCAGATGGGTGCGGTGGTTCCTACCAAACCTCTTCTCTCGTTTTTCCGACTAAACGTATCGTCAAATTCTTACCTGATAAGATTGTTTCTCAACTAGTTAAAAATCCAAAAAACCTGGACGATTTGATATTATGTTCCTGACATTAATTGCTTGCTATGGGCTATGTATGAGTCACGAGTGTATGTTCACATCGAACAATATAGTAAAACAGGAAGTATAATGCAGCAATTTAACCATAAAAAGTGAACAGAATTACTTATATTTTGTGGAAAAGTGGAAATATTTTTTAAATTTTTTAGTATTTACGGTGACGTAATCACTTTAATACTTCGAACTTTTTATGTTGTTACTTAAAGTAGAACCTGGAGATTTTAATTTTTTGACATGCTTGATGAATTAAGTCATATTGATGAATTAATTGAAGCATAAATTATCGCATTTCACATAGGTGGCGAGTGCCTGTGATGTTGCCTGCATATTAATTTCTTTCATTTATATTTAATTCAGTTGGTAAGCACTATATGTTTATGTTCTATAATTGACGTTTAAAAATGTGTGGTCAGCCTAGCATTACAAATGTTCAGTAAATCTGGTGTTATCGTGTATGTATGACCTTGTTACTCCGAGAGCCAGGTGGATGGTGAGTCATGGGCACATGCTCTAGTTCCTGAAACGAGCTGTTAGTACTGTATTATCTTGTTGTGTGTTTGTGTGCGTGGGTGGGTGTGTGTGTGTGTGTATGCATAAGCGCACATAGTCCTGGTCTGGCACTGTGCCATGAATTCTCTCCAGTTTACAGAGTTGACTGCAGTGGCCTTTCCATATTAACCCAGTACAGGAAACCGATTTCTTCAATACAGAAAGGTTGTACTGTCGGAAGATGATAATTTGCACTGACCCCCCTTATTTTACTTTTCTCTTTGACAGGCGAAAGAGATACTAGCCAAGGAATCGAATGTGCAGGAGGTGAAATGTCCGGTGACGGTTTGCGGTGACGTCCACGGTCAATTCCATGACCTCATGGAGTTGTTCAGGTACACATTACTGCTCTCCCGCCGCCGCGCTCATAGTCCGCAGAGCTGACACCGGGGCAAAGTTGTACTGAGGAACACACGCGCATGTGCACTCCTCTTGACCTCTTCCCCCGTCGCCGCCGGACGCATCCTTCTACTCCCATGCCGTGTGCATCCCTATTCTCTCCTGCCGCAGGGGTCGAAATTAGCGGTATCCCGATATCCGCGGGATAGTAGATTCTTGGGTTGGATACCAGATTTCAATGCTTGGTATCCCGCCGGTATAGTAAAAAAAAATCGGGGTCAAAATCGGGATAGTGGTTGTTGAGCATATTTGCAAGTGTAAGCGTAGCCGATGTTGATCATAAATGTGATGGGTATGCATTGTATCAAGCGAACCAGACATGCGTCTAGACTACGTCTGCAGTGTACTTGTCTGTGCATATCTGTGAATCTATTTTCATGTTTTTATATAATAATTACATTACATATTAATAATTTTCTATTATTGCATATATTTCAAGATTTTGGATACCAACATTGTTGAAATTACTATCCAAAAAATGGGATACAGATCTTTGGGGGGGGGATACCAGATTTCAATACCTGGTATTCGAATGGATACCATAATAAAAATCTAATTTCGACCCCTGCAGCCGCCGCTGCACTGTCACTGTCACTCACTCTCTCTCGCTCGTGTCACTGTCACTATTGTCTTGTCACTGGGGCGGACGGGGGGACGGGGGAGAGGGGCCGTCCGGGTATTCAGCGGTAAACGACACGCACGCACGCGGTCGTCACGTGCACCCTCCACCCTTCACGCGCGCAGGGGCAGCGCGTCCATACACGATTGACGTGCCGGTCGCGCGGTCGTCGCACCGTTAACGGTTTATCTCTAGACTTTGCACTTCTTCGCGAGGCGAGCGGTGAACGGAGGGGGGGGGACGGCACACACACACGGCACACACACGCTGTAAATTTGCATAGAGTTCAATGCAAACCGAAATTTAGAGTGCTATTTTCATGCACGCGAGCTTGAAAAGTAGCCTCCGAAAAATAAATTACAATTTTTCCCTGACGCGGAGAACTTGTGGGTAGATTCTTGTGGCGCAGTGTTCGTGTGGACGGGACCCTCGTGGGATGGTATGTGTTTGCGTAGTACACTTTATGAATAATGCTGGCACAGCGGATGCATAATGCCCTATCTCTTTTGCCATCTCTCTCTCTCTCTCTTTCTCTCTCTCCCTATCTCCCTCTCTCTCTTCTCTCTCTCTCTCTCTCTCGTCTCTCCCTCTCTCTCTCTCTCTCTCTCTCTCTCTCTCTCTCTCTCTCTCTCCTCTCTCTCTCTTCGCTCTCTCTCTCTCTCCTCTTTCTATCTCTCTCCCTCTCTCTTTCTTCACTCTCTTCACTCTCACTTTTTTTCTTGCTCTCTCTCTCTCTCTCTCTCTCTTTCGATGCCACGTTGATGTCTCTCCCCCTCTCCTCTCTCACCTCCCTCTACCCCCCTATGCTTTCTCACCCCGTCTCCTCTCTCGCCCCCTCTGCTCTCTCTCCCCCTCTCCTCTCTCCTCCCTCTCTCTCCACCCTCTCTCTCTCTCATGTTGACGTCTCTCCCTCTCACGCAGGTACGATGTGTGACCTGCTATGGTCGGACCCGGTCTCTCTCTCCTCTCTGTCCCCCTCTCCTCTCTCCTCCCTCTCTCTCTCACGTTGACGTCTCTCCCTCTCACGCAGGTACCGATGTGTGACCTGCTATGGTCGAACCCGGTCTCTCTCTCCTCTCTGTCCCCCTCTCCTCTCTCCTCCCTCTCTCTCCACCCTCTCTCTCTCACGTTTACATTCTCCTCTCACGCAGGGACCGATGTGTGACCTGCTATGGTCGGACCCGGATGATCGCGGCGGATGGGGCATCTCGCCTCGCGGCGCTGGATACACGTTCGGACAGGACATATCGGAGACGTTCAACCACAGCAACAACCTGACTCTCGTCTCGCGAGCCCACCAGCTCGTCATGGAGGTAAGAAGGAGGCAGGGGGAGGAGGAGGCACGAGGCGCGATTAATCTACGGAAAGATTGGGTTCGGAATGATCAGATTTTTGAAATGTCTTTCCTTATTTTCTGTAGCTCACCTTATATTATTTTATCTCTGATGCTTCTCTCCCTCTTTCTTACCCCTCTCTCTCTCCCTCTCTCTCTCTCTCTTCCTCCCTGTGTGTCTTTCTCCCCCCCCTCCTCCCCCTCTCTCTCTCTCTTCCTCCCTGTGTCTCTCTCTCCCCCCCTCCCCTCTCTCTCTCCCTCTCTCTCTCCCCTTTCTCTCTCTCTCTCCATTTCGCTCTCTCCCTGCCTCCTAGTTCATGCAGTAATTGTTCACTCGCTGTGTGCAGGGCTACAACTGGTGCCACGATCGTAACGTCGTCACCATCTTCAGCGCGCCCAACTACTGCTACAGATGCGGCAATCAGGCAGCTATCATGGAGCTAGATGATGCTCTCAAGTACTCATTGTAAGTCACTGTCTACGCGTTACATCGTTCGAATGCCTCTAGTAATGGTATGTTGCTATCTACGGCTTCATCTGGGGAGGTGAAGCATGGGGGGTGCAGGGGGAGGGGGAGGCACGAGGCATGATGAATCTACGCAAAGATTGGGTTCTGAAATCAGATTTTGAAATGTCTTTCTTATTTTCTGTTATCTCACCTTATGAGATAATGATAGATCATGGTGATATCATCGTAATATATCAGGGTTCTCCAAGCTTTTTCATTATAGCATGGGGGTGCTGCCTTTACGGTCCTCGTTGCGGTAACGGTTTGCGTGCTAGGGGGGTCCGGGGGCTATGATATTTAGCATGGCGGCTACGATATTTAGAGTGGCGGGTGCATTTTAGGATGGCGGGGCTCGACAATGATAGCCTGGCGAGCCGCCAGGCTATAAGTGCTCTTGGAGAACCCTGTATATATCATGATATCATGGTGAATATGATTAGATCATGGTGTTGAGTGGTAAGCTCATCGAATCTACGCATGGGTGGCAGTGGATTGGTGTCCAGTGAAGACCTCTGCCACCCACGCACAAGTATAGGCAGTGGATGTGCATTGATTTCGTAACGCGACGGTTTAATCGTGGATTTTCTATGGTGAAATTTGTAAAAAAAAAAATCCCATTTTTTTACATTAAAAGTAAGAACTAACGAGACTAAACAAATCGTCAAATTCTTACCTGATAAGATTGTTTCTCAACTAGTTAAAAATCCAAAAAAACCTGGACGATTTGAATTAATGTTGTCTAACATTAATTGCTTGTTATGGGCTATGTATGGTGCATGAGTGTATGTTCACATCGAACAATATAGTAAAATAGGAAGTATAATGCAGCAATTTAACCATAAAATGTAAACAGATTTACTTATATTTTGTGAAAAAGTGGAAATATTTTTTTATTTTAACCATTTACGGTGACGTAATCACTTTAATCGTGGATTTGCCGTCGCTGTAGCGTTTACGATGAAGCGACAGAGAGTCGCTCCGGATGTACCATTGCCAACGTTGCTCGCCGTCGTTGAACGTTCGCTTG